CATTATGGGTAACTTGTGGACAGAAGAGAGGATTCCAGATGTCATTATTCCTGAAAGAAAAAATTCTGTGAATTGTATTGAAAGATTTTTTTTTTTAAGATGGGATTCTATATATCCTGGCCTAGAACTCTCTATATAGCCAACATTGACTTTAATGTTTTCTTTTCCTACTGTCTCCCTATTCCAATCTCTAGAATTTTAAGATTGCAATCAGTGTATATGGTGCTGAGGTTGAAGCTGGAGCAAGCACTCTACCAACTGAGCTACATCCCAAGCTCTCTCTCATTGTGCAATTCACCCAAACTCTTCAAATTATATATCTAAAACATTAGCCCTCTTACATTAAATGTCATCAAATGATTACCTAGTGATGAGACAAAGACAGAAAGAGCTAACAAGAGGTAAGCTGTTGAAAGAGGGAACTGTCAGCCAAAACAGTGACAGAGAACATGTGCCATGTAGTAGAGTGGATTCTTTTTCAAAATTATTACTATGAAACACAATCTCACATTATATGTATTGGTGTTTGAATTTATGTTGTGCTTTTGATTCTGTTATTTTAAGAATAATAAATGGAAATAAATTTCTATTTTAAATTGAGTTATAGCACTTTTGTTGCACTTAATAAAATTCACCAATTTTAGGTAAATAATTTAACAAGTTTTAATAAATTTACAGGGTTGTGCAACTATCAGCACCAACCATTTAATTTTAGAACATTTTTATCACCCAGAAAAGAGATTTCAGTCTACTTTTAACCCCTCTGCATCCATAGCACTTCAGGTGACTCCTGATCTATGTTTGACTTTTCTTGTTATTTCATAAAAAAGATCACATAGGTGGGATTATAAGTAAACAGAGGTAAATGTGATTAATGTGATTAATTTCTTATTTAACTTAAATATTTTTGGTTCAACAATATTATAATATATGCCAATATTTTAGTCCTTTGCATTGCCAATAGTATTTTATTTTATGAAAGTTGGGGCTACCGCTTAGAGGTAAATTATTTGTCTAGCAAGTGAGAAGCCCTAGGTTCAATCCTTAATATTACCTTTCTCCCAAAAAAGAATCTCAGTGTATGCATATTCTGTTTTATCAGTCACCTGCTCGTGGGTATTTGGCTCACTGCTAATTTCTCTCTATTCTGAGCAAAGTTGCTATGAACAGACACATGTATGTACAAGTCTTTGTGTAGCCATACAATTTAATTTCTCTTAAAGGGACACAGAAATTTAATTTCTGAGTGGTATAAAATGTCTATGTTTAAAGTTTTGAGAAATTGACCAACTAAGTTCCACAGTGGCTGTGCCATTTTCCATTCCCAGAACATTGGGTAGGGATTGTTTTCTATACATATTCAACAATGATTATTATCTGGCTTTTATTAGAGCCATTCTTTTCTTGTGACACAGCATCTCTTTATATGGCATTCTTAGGATGGTCAGATCAGATAAGCACTGATAAGATGGCTACCATTAATAAAGAAGATATATTTTTTTACATTTTTGCAAAACATTTGTCATTTTCTAGTACTTCAAAACACAAAAGGGGAATTTTGCAAAGTTTAGAGATCATGTCTATTTTTTCTTGGCAATAGGGCCAGTCATATCACAGAGATGCTTGCTAACAGACAGAAGTACTACTTCTAGTGTTACTGGAACATAAAAACTATACTAACTTTTGTCTATACCAAGCTAGGGTTAGGTCTTTATAGTAATACAGGACTTGGCCATTTTTTTTTCAGGGGCCTCCATAAAGATTCTTTGCCTACAAACAACAGGAAGCAGTATAAAAAAAATGACACCCACATTTCCAATAAATTGTGTAGGTGGCTGTTGGCCTTTTGGTGGGTCATAAATGTTTGTTATATTTAGGAGAAAATTAGAATAAAAAGATAACCATTAATGTCATATAGTTTGCATTGAGATGGATTTTGGTATATTGATAAAAATTTAAAATTAATTTTGTTACACTGTATATATGTTCCTATTCTTGTTTGGGGTATTTGTTTTTATGTAGTTCATGCAAAATGCAATGTGTAAATAAGAAATGAAATTAGTAGTTAATCTATAATAACCAAACTTGTAGTCACATTAGGTATGTTTCCTAAGTAAAATGGGTGTATTTTAGATCGATAAATGGTCTTTAAAAATGTCAAAGACCTATAAAATATGACATTTAGAATGTTTGTTAATTTAGGACTTTTCATGACAATGAAACACATCTGCTTTTGGCAGCACCAATTTACTTCATAAAAGAATGATACACACTGAAGGAACCCCATAGGAGTTTGCTTTCTTTGTACCAAGTTTATCCATTCAGAAAGGAAACTGCTCTTGCCTTGACTGCTTTATAAACTAGACATACAGGACCCACAGGGAATTGACTGCTGAATTTTGCCAAAACAAGGTGGGATGGTTCTTCAGCATTCCTGTTTCACAGAAGAGTCTGCCAGACATTCTGTAGGGCCTACTGGAAAGTGATTGTTGAACTTTGTCAAAACAAATCAGAACAGTCCTTCAAATTTCCTGTTTCACTGAAAAGTCTGTCAGATATTCTGGACCTGTAGGCTGAAGATGGAGGCACCCAGCATTGCAGAGGAACTGTGGGTAACTGTCCAAGCAGTAAGTTGTTCCTTTTGTTAGGTAATAATATACCTTTCTTGGGCTCTTTGATGGAGTTTAACAATAAATAATCAGAGCTATAATTTTTCTTAGTTATGACAGAAAGTAAATTAGGCATAAAACTTTGGAGTCACTAAGATTAGTTATTTTTCTCTAAATTTGCTAAATACAAATGGAATTAATATTGTAAATGTAATTTTTACTTGGTGATTCTTTTTTTTTTTTTTTTTTTTTTTTTTTGAGACAGGGTTTCTCTGTTTTGCTTTGGAGCCTGTCCTGGAACTCACTCTGTAGACCATGCTCACCTCAAACTCACAGAGATCCACCTGCCTCTACCTCCTAAGTGCTGGGATTAAAGGAATATGCCACCACCACAGGGCAATTATTTTTGTTGTATGTAATTTTTCAATGTTAAAGTTAAAAACTATTTTTTTTAGGTAAAAAAGTAAATGTTGTAGAATATTACTTTAATGTGTGTTACATTTGTTTATGCTATGAAACATTTGTTTAATGATGCAAAGATGTGTTGCATTCTTTTATGTTGCAATTGTTTAACTCGAGGCCTTGTTACTTTGCCTGTCTAAAACACTTGACTGGTCTAATAAAGAACTGAATAGCCAGCCAATAGAGAGGCAGGAGAGAAGATTGGTGGGGGACAGCAGGAAAAGAGAATAAACAGAAGGGGAAAAAAAAGAGCAAGAGATAACAAGGATCTAGAAAAGGAGGGGTCAGTCATACAGCCAGACATGGACTAAGAAGGAAAGAAAAGATATACAGAAATAGAGAAAGGTAAAAGCCCAGAGGCAAAAGGTAGGTGGGATACTTTAAATTTAAAAAAAAAAAAAAAAGCGTGACTTATTTGAGTGCTGTGTGGTGGGCTCCCAAAAGAGTAAAAGAGCCAAAGAGTAAAACATAACCAACAACAGTTATCAAACCCAGCACTATGTGAAGAAGATAGACGTTTGGTATGGATGTCTATTGAACTGGCATTTAGGATGCGTGAGATTTTGCCTCCTTCTTCCTGTTTTCCCTCTTACTAATTTGCTCTGACTTAATGACTTATCTTTCTTGCATGAAGAATATCGAATAGGAAATCTTTTCTGGCCCTTATAGAATTTGTGAAATATGCATAATTATGTATCTGAAAAGTAACAGATGCATTAAACATTTCACATGAGATGAAATCAGGCACATACATACATACATACATACATACATACATACATACATACAATTGCATATACTACAGTTCTTATTGTCATGGCCACCCAAACAAGCACTGTGGAAAGAAATGTAATGCAAACTAGAAAATCAACTCACATTGCTCTCTACTTTGTTTTCTTGATCCATAATCTACAGCCAGTAGAGTCAAAGGGAAATTATTAGGCATAGAAATATGACATTGACAATGAGAATTTTGCTCCAGTTAACACTGTAAGCTATTAATTAGTTAGGTTTTCCTCTGTCCTGGGGTAATTTATAACTCTTAGAACACTATGAAAATATATGTCACTGTACTGTTAAACATCAAGTGCAAACACATCTCTACTTCTAGAATTGTTCAAGTGTTCAAAATCTAATCCTGAGATTAGAGTGGGCTCAGGACACACTTATCTAAGAACTAAGGACTGATCTAAGAACTTTGCTATAGTCTACAGTGCATGGTAGAAGCCTAGTAAACATTGGTCAAATTTCCAGGAACAAATGAATCATTGCTCTGACTTTAACACTAGCAGGTTCTTAGCACTGGGAAAACACTTTGTGACTTGTTTCCATGTCTTCATTTCTAAAAATGGAGGTATACTGGGCTGGAGAGATGGCTCAGCTGTTAAAGGCTAGACTCACAACCAAAAACCAGAGGTGTACTAACTGACATTTAATGCATTGAATAGGAAAATGTATACGATAATATTTTGTAAACAGTAGTGCAAAAATCAAATCAGATTCCATCAATGAATCTTAAAAACAAAAATAAAAAGCAAAACAGAAAAGACAATGAGTTATATAACCATTCAAGACTTGGTGATTTATGAGTCTAAATGAAACCCAAGTTTCCATTGTCTTTATGTATGTGCAAAAAATAAAACACCCATATAGCTTAATTCCACCCAATCCTCAAAGCATGACATTTAAAATATAATAATTCAAAACCCACCACCTAGAATGAAATCAAGCAATGGAATGCATGCCCATATGTGCACAAAGAGCTGGCTTCCTCAGCATGGCCATCTCACCACAACTGACAAGGAAGGAATTTGATCCAGAATAGGAAATCAACTCAGAAAATTGGTTCTCTGCTTTGTGAGGCAAATGTTATTAATTTTGTTCTCAATCCATGGTTTCTTAGCCGATACTTGATTAACATTTTTTTTACAGGGGGGAGGTTGAACACAGTCCCCCACTCTCACAAATTATGCAGTAGAGTTTTCCATATTTGGGTAAATCGTAGGGGTCAGCATAATCTGAGTGCAATGGATAAGCCTTGGAAAACAAGCTTCGTAATCATGGTGTCTTCCCTGCCAGGTAGGTATGACTTTATTGACATATTTTGTCAGCAAATTCTTGGTGGAAGGGGCTGCTTATATGGTGCAGAATGGTTTGCAGTATCCCTGAATCTGCCACTGTTTATCACTACAGGCAGGAGGGAGGGCCTAGTCCCTACTCCAAATGAATTGACAGATTTAGATGACCCCTCCAGGAAGGTATCACTCTATGTGTGAAGTGGGGGTGGGGATTCAGATGGGAGAGTGGGGGGGCATTGGAGGGTGGAAGAGAGGGAGGGAGAAGGGATGGAGAGGGAACTGGGATCAATATGTAAAATAAGAAAAAAAAAAGAATGACATCTAACCCCATTGTATATGAAGGAGTTGTGAGAAATCTAATACATAGTAACTAACACATAAAATTACAGAAATACAGAAACATTCTATTGCAGTTATTCTGTAATAGTTTACACACTTAACATGTAATTATTAATCATCACATAAGGTCAGTTTTCACCACTGAACAAAACTGATATTTTCACTCCACCCTCCCCCATCCCTTGTAAGCACTATGGCTTCCTTGAACCTTGTTCTTTGTTGTAGGTCAAATGTAGCTTTGTTTACTAGTTACCTTTGGAAAGGCACTCATCTGCAACAAACAGACAGACCTGTGGTTAGCATCAGATATTTCAAAAGGTCCAGCCTGTCAGATCTTAGAAATGTCTCCAACTGAAACCCCTCTATGCTGTGGGGGAATTTTACTCATTTACTTTTATTCATTCCAGCGAAGCTGCTACTGACAAAGTATCACTGATTTCCTCTTAATCCATGGAAAATATATAATTTTATTTTCAGTATTCCTGTAAAATATGCCATGGAAAACTGAGGCAAAATCATTTCAAGAGCATCCAGAAGGAGTGAGATTTTGACAGAAGCCTTTTCCTGAATCTTACTGAGCATTTGTGACTGTTTCTTCTCCTAGACACTCTTCATTTTCTTACATGTTTAGATGAGATCCACCTTCACAGTGAAAAATATCAATGAAGTTATTAAAGAACAGTAAGTGAGTCTAAGTAAAGTATTAGGTAGCTTGTACTCAAATAACCAGCTACTTTCTAGACAAACTTAAAATCTTAGAGTCTCTAAAATTCAGTGTAGACAAAGATAAACTGATATATCTGTCCTCCCAAATGCTTTTCTGAATTACCTTCCAAGTGAAAACACCCTTTATTTCCTCCCCTCAAACCAGCGGGTACCTTAGTCATCACCATACAGCTTCCAGAATGATGAAAGAACTTTCCATTTAAGCTCCTCCATCTCCTACACTTTGCTACTAGTCCTAGCAAGATGCTACATGTCCTAACATGTGCTTTGGTTCCAGCCTTCATCCTTTTAGTTTGCTTTATATACCAAAAAAGGAGCTAGACTCCATACTTGCTAACTCCACCTGGTATGCCAACATCAAGAAATTGGAAAGATTCGGTCACAACTGGTCACTGCAAGAAGTAATGCTATGTTGATTGATGTGTGGGGTGCTGAACGTGCCTGATTGTATGTCTCTTCTGCCATCCCCAGCACAGTGGTTAAACAACTCCACCACCTGCAGTGTGAAGATCCACCTCTCACCCCAGTGTGTCAGCTGTAGTCTACTCACCATTCTCAGAAGTGACTGGGATCCTATGTGGTTGCACAATTCAGTACCCTTAGCTTCTGTCTCATTTCCCAAGACAGGGAATAACTTCTCTATGCCTTTGGATAGCTACTTCTAAGCACAATTCATGCAGCTTTTTTTTAATGGAAAATTTTGAACCATACCCAGTATGAAAAGCACTGAATCATCCCCACGCATTTGTCACATCATATTTCTTCTGTCCCAATATCAGTGATTCTTCACTGAACTTTGATTTCCATGATTGTGTCAAGTCCTCGACAGCAAATGCCTTAGAATGATGGGCTGTGATTTATTCCTCTCTGTGCTTGTGTGCTCACATATACAGAATAACTGCAATAAAATAATTTTTGATACCTCTAGAGAAAATTATTATGACATGAAGACAAAAGGGACTTCTTACTTAAGAAGCATATGGAAATCAATGTCATGAAGGGAGTTCATAGTTAAAGAGAGGAAAAAATAAGAGTTACATTCCTTGGCTGTTATATACTAAGATGCATTTCATCATTTGATTATAGTAAATGGAAATTTTGGGACATCAAGGAAAAATAACCAAACAAAATGGTTCTTATTGGCCATTCACCACAGCTGTCTGCCAAAGGACAGCTGCTTCTAACATGCAAGCAAATTAGGACTTCAAGGATGCTTTAAACTATTTGCCCCTGGGTGTGAAGAGGGAGGAGTACAAGGCAAGTTTGCTGAGTATACACCAGGAGGCTGCATTACAGGAGAGGATAATACTAAAGTTTTTATTACTATTCAGCCACAATATTATTAACTCACTTGGGGGTCTGGCAAAAAATACCTTTGAGAATGAGAATTATCACATCAGTTTTATCAACATGACATATTATGTTCTCATGTTCCATTATGTATAAATTATCTTCTTGGATAAAAGCCCACACATCTTTGGAGATCTTGCTTAATACTCAGATTGGTATTTTCATATTTTTAAGAAAGATGAAAAGAGAGATTATTACATAGCAATGTTAAAAGACCTCCTGGGCAGAGGAAATACTCTAACTGTTGCATAGCACCCCCTGAATGTATGCCAGATACAGATACATAAGGGAATGGGGACAGTACTGTTATACCGAGCCATGTTTTTCTAGTGTTTTTGCCTCTCTCTCTCTCTCTCTCTCTCTCTCTCTCTCTCTCTCTAAAGATTATATATATATATATATATATATATATATATATATTCCTCTTTCCCTCCCCTCTCCCTCTCTATCCTTCTTACCTATCTCTATGCTCCCCCCATTCAAGCAGCAATGGTTGTATAAGCATTTATCTCTTATATAGGAAGATACACTCCAGATAGCATCCAAAGCCAGTCCAGTTCTTGAATATGTTTGTTGAAAATATAGTAAATTAGGTCTGAAGGTTACTAGATCCAGATGGATAAGAATTCGATCATTATGAGTGCAAAGCAGGGCTTGTGGCTTCTCAAAATGACCATAGATGAATGCAAATTTCAGTAATCAAGCTAGTAAAACAAATAGTTCACGCGAAAAATCATAGCTTAGAGAAGATATTATGAGGAATGAAACAGTTACCTCCACTCATCTCTGCAACATAGCAATTCCATCTTGCCTTTGCTTTCACTTTCAATAGTTTCCCTTACCTGAGGTGAAACCAACAAGCACTAAATGGAAAATTCCAGAAATAAATAATTCACCAGTTTAAATAACTTTTTTACAGCATATTATTATCATGATTATTTATTTTTTAGTTATTGCTGCCAATCAATTCTTCTGTCTAATCTATACATAAAGATTTTATCATAGGTATGTATGCATAGGAAAAAGTCCGTCTAGAGTTCAGTACAATCCATATATATATATATATATATATATATATATATATATATATATATGCATATGGCATAAGAAACTATTAAGCATCCATTTACTGTTTTAGGATGTATCTTCCATGGGTGATGGAAGATTGTTATATGTATCCCATAAGCAGTCAAGAAAGAATCAAAGAAGGAGGCTGGTATTTAGAGGCTGATGGCCATCTTATGAGGCACCTACAGATGAATATCCTCCTTCTTAGCCACATAAACAAAGGGTTTCACAGTGAAAGAGATTGGGAAGATCTCAAGGCACTGCACATAGTCCTATGCTTCCCAGAGCTTGTCTCAGGCACATTCTGTGGCCCTGAGCTGTGCACAAGGTTAGGAACAACTTAACTCCCAGGGAACTGTTGTAATGATTGAGGGAAGTCTTCCAGAAAGCTGACTTTAAAGGCTGCTTCACAATGTCCCTTGCACATGACAGATGCATGAAACAGAAGCTGAGGATCCCTAAGTCTCCAGTGTTGACAAGGTGTTTTAAGGGACAGTAGCTAGCTAGAAAAGTCCTAGGTTCTAACAGATGGTCCCCCTAGAATGTACAGATTTTTAGCATTAACAAAGCCACTGAAAAGAAGTCTAGCAGTGAGGTGTATCATGCCAATCTAGAGCATCAGCTCTTAGACTTCATTCAGACTTCAGTTTCACTAGGGCTGTCACTCTGTTTGCAAACTTTTACCAGAGCTAACCTTTTACCAGAAACCTAACCAAGGATCATCCTTGCATTCCGTGCACTGAAGAATCTAGAACTGCAAAGAGATTGTTGATACTCCCAACAACCACAAATCTGCCAATGGTCACCTATCCACAAAGGTGACTAAAATAAAAAGTGGAGGAGCTGACAATGGTCAGGATGAAAGCATCAGTAGCTCTTAATTACCGAGTACAGGATAGTAAACAGCCACCCATTTAGGCAACTGATTGTCCATGTCAGTAAAAATGAACTCTAGCCAGTCAGTGACCCAGAAGTCCTACTCCTGCTTACACACCCAACAGTTTACCACATAGCCCATACCAAAGTCCTCACAACTATAGTACTTGTACTAGCTACAATACTCTTCACAAATGGATGGAGTACATAATTGCATAATGAAAATGTAACAGAGAATGAATAAAGTAAAATGAAATATGAAATTTAAAAGTGTATATGACGAATGTGGTGCTAAGTGTGGGATACCAGGTTCAAAGGGATACACACAGAATGATTTAAATGAATCTAAAAGCCAGGGAAGTAATGACCTTCAGTAGAGTCAGTGCTGGAGAGAAGCATAAAAAGGTGTGTATGTTATTTCTTGATCTTGGGATTTTTACACAAGGTGTGTTCAGTTTGTAAACATCTATGGAGCTGCACACTCCTTGTCTGTACCTTTGGCTATTGATAAGCCTTGATAATCAATGTATTATGTGTTGTTGTTATATTAATACACATTATATTCCTACAAAGAGTACATAAAAATAGAAGTTTCATTTCATATATGCACTCCAAATCTGTTTCCATCCTTTATTAATGCAGAAAACAGC